AAGTCTTTCTATATAGAACATCTTGAGCTTAATTGAAATATGTCTCTTTATATAGAAGCTTGATATCAAGTAATATCTTTATAAAGAGCATAAGCCAGACGAGCTATAGTACAGTTTGAACTCAAGTTCAACATGTTTCCAGAAACAGTTTAAAGTCTTTCTATATAGAAATATGAAATATGTCTATTTATACAGAAGCTTGATATCAAGGAATAACTTTATAAAGAGCAGCTTGAGCATAAGCCAGACAAGTCTGTCTGGAGCTTGAGCATAAGCAAGATAAATCTCTGTGAAGATGACCTTTAGCGAGATATGGCTCTTAAGCGAGTTATATCTCTAATAGAGCAGATTTTCCAATATAGAGCAGCTTAACCTAGGTTGAAACATGCTTAAGCAATTAGAGATTTTCGAAAAATGTCTCTATACATAGAGCTTGAGCTTAAGCGAGAGATGTCTCTCGATAGAGTAGCTTGAGCTTAAGCAACAAATTTCTCTGTATAGAACAGCTTGAGTTCAAACGAGAGATGTCTCTATATAGAGCATCTTGAGCTTAAATGAGCGATTTTTCAATATAAAGCAGCTTAAGGTGAGGTAAACACACTTATGTAATTCGAGATTTTCAAAAAATGTATCTATACATTGAGCTTGAGCTTAAACGAGCGATGTCTCTCTATAGAGTAGCTTGAACTTAAGGAAAAGATTTCTCTATATCAGCGAAAGGCGGAGAATAAAAAAATAGTTCTCTGACTGAGTTCAAACGAGAGATTTCTCTATATAGAGCATCTTGTGCTTAAATGAGAAATTTTTCCATATATAGCAGCTCAAGGTGAGGTAAAACCCACTTAAGCAATTCGAGATTTTCGAAAAATGTATCTATACATTGAGCTTGAGCTTAAGCGAGAGATGTTTCTCTATAGACTAGTTTTTGCTTAAGCAAAAGAGAGTAAGAAATAGATTTCTGACTGGTTTTTGTTTGTTTTTTATACATGTGTGAGCATACGTACGCGTGAACGTATGAGTATAAGATAGCTCATCTAAGAGCTCACTGCGTTTCGGGGCTCTATATAGAGCAGCTTGAATTTAAGCGAAGGATGTCTCTGTATAGAACGGTTTGGCCTAAATCAACTTGAACTTAAGAGTAGCTTGATCTTAAGAGAGTAAGAGAGTCTCTATAAAAAGCATCTTCAGCTTAAACCAGAGATATCTTATGAGAAACATGTTTCTAGAAACATGTTAAAGTGTTTCTATATGGAGATTCATTGAGAAATATCTCTACAAAGAGCAGCTTAGGCATAAGCGAGTTAAGTCTCTGTAAAGAGGAACTCAAGCTAGATACGGCTCTTGGAGATATGTCTATATAGACATATGACAAGTGAAGTAAGATTCTATATAGAACATCTTATGCTTAATCGGGAAATATCCCTATAAAGAGCAGCTTGAGCAAAAGCGGAATAAGTCTCTGACTAGATCAACTTTGGCGAGATATGAAGCTTTCTTTTTCTCATTTCTGGTCAAAACTAAAAAGTTTGTTAAAGAAAGGTAGGCTTACTTTTGCTGAAACTTTTTTTTAATTATTGTTGCTCTAGTTTTAAACCCCGTAACAATAAATATGTGTTTAAAAATGACTTTCAAAATTTGTTAAAAATAATAATAAAAAAACCATATATCTTTACATTTTAATGGTTTTTATATAATAAATTATTTACAACTTACGTTTAAAACACCTCAAAATAAAGAAAATAAATGTGTGTTAAACTGAAAAAAGCAAAACATTTTTGCATGTTTAAAAAACATAAAATTTAAAAAAAATATCATCTTATGTAATTTTTTTTTAGTTTTTTTCTTCATATAGCTTAAATTGTTTTCATTATTATATTATTAACTTTAATATTGTTAAATAATAATATTTTGCGTTTTTTGTCTTTTCTTGATTTTTTGTAACAAAAAAAAATAAAACAAATTCATTATTTCAAAACCCTCTCATACAAAAATTTGCACACGAATGTAGTAGCATTTTTCGTAGCTGCTAATGTTAACAAACAATTTTAACAAAATTTATACCATTGACCATCCTTGACTTAGACTTGATAGATTTTGTTTATATTTATTTGGAAAAAATACTTATAAATAACGTTAGTTTATTACGTTACACTTCATAAGCTGTAACAGTTCTTTTTTATAACTATAATTTATGACTTTAATTTGTTGTTATTTTTCCCCTTTTGTTAAATAAACTATTAAAAGTTTGTAAAATCTTTGTGTAGAATTTATCAAGTGTTATTTATTATAGATAAGTTAGCAGTAAAATCAGACATATTCTCATTATAAGGGAAATATCCAAACATTTACATAGATTTATTAAAATTAATAATATGCAAATTATGTTTAATTGATTACTGGTAATAAGTGGGATTAGTATTTATTTTTTCTAAAAAATACATTAAAAGTTAATGGAATTTAATCTCCTCAGAATTACTTTCAGGATTAAGCGTGAGACGAGATTTTCTTTAGAGAAGCTAAGCTTAAGGGAAAGAAGAGCTCAGTTAGTAGTTAGTTAGTTAGTAGTTAGTTAGTTAGTTAGTTAGTTTAGTTAGTTAGTTAGTGAGTTAGTTAGTTAATTAGTTAGTTAGTTAGTTAGTTAGTTAGTTAGTTAGTTAGTAGTTAGTTAGTTAGTTAGTTAGTTAGTTAGTTAGTTAGTAGTTAGTTAGTAGTTAGTAGTTAGTTAGTTAGTTAGTTAGTTAGTAGTTAGTTAGTAGTAGTTAGTTAGTAGTTAGTTAGTTAGTAGTTAGTTAGTTAGTTAGTTAGTAGTTAGTTAGTTAGTTAGTTAGTTAGTTAGTTAGTAGTTAGTAGTTAGTTAGTTAGTAGTTAGTTAGTTAGTAGTTAGTTAGTTAGTTAGTTAGTTAGTTAGTTAGTAGTTAGTTAGTAGTTAGTTAGTAGTTAGTTAGTAGTTAGTTAGTTAGTTAGTTAGTTAGTTAGTTAGTTAGTTAGTTAGTAGTTAGTTATTAGTTAGTTAGTTAGTTAGTTAGTTAGTTAGTTAGTAGTATTAGTTAGTTAGTTTGTTAGTTAGTAGTAGTTAGTTAGTTAGTTAGTTAGTTAGTTAGTTAGTAGTTAGTTAGTTAGTAGTTAGTTAGTTAGTTAGTTAGTAGTTAGTTAGTTAGTTAGACTATAGACTAGACTGTAGACTGGACTATGGACTAGACTATAGACTAGACTAAGACTAGACTATAGACTAGACTATAGACTAGACTATAGACTAGACTATATACTAGACTATAGACTAGACTATAGACTAGACTATAGACTAGACTATAGATAGACTATAGACTAGACTATAGACTAGACTATAGGACTAGACTATAGACTAGACTATAGACTAGACTATAGACTAGACTATAGACTAGACTATAGACTAGACTATAGACTAGACTATAGACTAGACTATAGACTAGACTATAGACTAGACTATAGACTAGACTATAGACTAGACTATAGACTAGACTATAGACTAGACTATAGACTAGACTATAGACTAGACTATAGACTAGACTATAGACTAGACTATAGACTAGACTATAGACTAGACTATAGACTAGACTATAGACTAGACTATAGACTAGGACTATAGACTAGACTATAGACTAGACTATAGACTAGACTATAGACTAGACTATAGACTAGACTATAGACTAGACTATAGACTAGACTATAGACTAGACTATAGACTAGACTATAGACTAGACTATACTAGACTATAGACTAGACTATAGACTAGACTATAGACTAACTATAGACTAGACTAGACTAGACTAGACTATAGACTAGACTATAGACTAGACTATAGACTAGACTATAGACTAGACTATAGACTAGATATAGACTAGACTAAGACTATAGACTAGACTATAGGACTAGACTATAGACTAGACTATAGACTAGACTATAGACTAGACTATAGACTAGACTATAGACTATACTATAGACTATACTATAGACTAGACTATAGACTAGACTATAGACTAGACTATAGACTAGAATATAGACTAGACTATAGACTAGACTATAGACTAGACTATAAACTAGACTATAAACTAGACTATAGACTAGACTATAGACTAGACTATAGACTAGACTATAGACTAGACTATAGACTAGACTATTGACTAGACTATAGACTAGACTATAGACAAAACTATAGACTAGACTATAGACTAGACTGTAGACTAGACTACAGACTAAAAATTCAGTTTTAGCAATCACCCATCGTTATAGCAATTTTGTTATTCAAAATTTTCCACTTATAAACGCCATTTGCCACATGTTATTTACAAAGTTTTTAAAATTATTGAATATAATACGTACATCGTATGTCTAGCATTTTTTTTTAATTAAATTTGTGGGTAATTACAGTTGATTTTAAATGTAAAAAAAAACATGAACAAAATAATTATTCAGCTAAATTGTAAATGAAAAGAGTAAAACTAAAAACAAATCAATCAAAACTTGTTTCCATACGTCTACTAAAATCAACAAATGTTGATTAAAATAATGACAAATATTTAGAATGATCTAACGAATAAGACTAATAGGAAGCTCTACTTTGGATTGAGTATTTCTTAGCTCCACTGATAGTATAACAGGAAACATATGCTAGTTTTTCATTGGTTTAGAGTACAACTGCTTATTGTGTGCTGCTGACATTTGACAAAATGTAAGCGGGATTTAGTATAAATAATACCTAAAGTAGGGTATCGCTAATTATACCATTTAAGCTTACAAGTTTTGTGTTTTCCAGAAATTCAAAAAAAGATAATTTTACCAAAGAATTTTGTTAAAAAAAAACTAAAATTACAAAATATGTATTTTTTTTTTTCCAACAACTACGTGCTGGAATGCTAAGAAAATATACCAGAAATATATAAATATTTTTTTAACAAAAAAATTGCGGTTTTTAAACAATCAATTACATTTTTATTTACTTTTCTTTTTCTTTCCATTTACAGCCGGTGAAATATCCAAAATCTGTGGGTTTTATCATCAGCAATGAGTTTTGTGAACGTTTTCAATTATTATGGCATGAGAAGTAAGTGGTTTTTAATAAATTAAATTTGCTTAAATAAATATTTAACACTTTTTTGTATTAAATATTATTTTTATTATAGCCATTTTGGTTCTCTATCTCACCAGTAAATTGCATTATGACAAAGATACTTCAACGGTTTGTTTCATGTCTTCACCATGTTGGTGTATTTGTGCCCCCTGGTGGGTGCCATTGTTGCTGACAGTTGGCTGGGTAAATTTAAGACGATCCTATATTTGTCTATAGTTTATGCGATTGGTGGCATAATTGTGGCCTTGGGTGCAGTGCCATCACTTAATCTACCGGTGCAGTAAGTATTGAAATTTTAAAATTCTCCTTAGAGCAGCTTGAGCACAATCGAGAATATTTAATAACTTTAGCGGGAAATGTGTATGCATTGAACTGCAGGAGCTTAAGCTACATAGAGCAGATTAACCTGAAGCGAGCAAGGCTGATGTCAGAGTGGGCGCTTCAAGCGATGCGAAGCTTTGCGCTACAAACCTTTCCTTGTGTTTTCCTATGTGTCATGTCAGAGTGAAAGCGAAGGTTGATGCGAGAAACCCAAGCAAAAATTTGTAGCGCAAAGCTTCGCATCGCTTGTAGCGCCCAATCTGGCATCAGCCTAATGAACAAATATTGCGAGAATTGTCGCTGTATAGAGCAGATTTAGCTTAAGAGAGAGCTGACTATAAATATAGAGCTTGAGCTGAAACGAGAGTTGACTCTATATAGAGCAGTTTGAGCTGAAGCGAGAGTTGACTCCATATAGAGCGGCTTGAGCTGAAACGAGAGTTGACTCTATTGAGCTTGAGCTGAAACGAGAGTTAACTCTATATAGAGCAGTTTGAGCTGAAGCGAGAGTTGTCTCTATATAGAGCAGTTTGAGCTGAAACGAGAGTAGACTCTATATAGAGAAGCTTGGTCTGAAGCGAGAGTTGACTCTATATAGAGCAACTTAAGCTGAAACGAGAGTTGACTCTATATATAGCAGCTTGAGCTGAAGAGAGAGTTGACTCTGTATAGAGCAGTTTGAGCTGAATCCAGAGACGACTCTATATAGAGCAGTTTGAGCTAAATCGAAGGTTGACTCTATATAGAGCAACTTGAGATGAATCGAGAGTTGACTCTATATAAAGCAGCTTGAGTTAAATCGAGATTTGACACTATATAGATCAGCTTTAGCTGGAGATGTCGCAGTATAGAGCAACATGTCTCTGTGTACGGAGGGATATGTCTCTGTACGGAGCAGCTTGAATTTAATCAAGAGAGGCCACCTTAATAAAGATATAAAGATATAAAATATACAAATTTAAAAACTAAATATTTAATTTCTTTTCAGACCGGCAACAATACTGGGTCTGGTTCTCATAGCCATTGGAACGGGAGGCATAAAGCCGTGTGTTTCAGCTTTTGGTGGTGATCAATTCAAATTGCCCGAACAAGCCAAACAATTGGCCACTTTCTTTTCGCTTTTCTATTTTGCCATTAATGCCGGTTCGATGATTTCTACCTCCGTTACACCCATTCTACGTGAAGATGTTCATTGTTTTGGCGATAAAGACTGTTTCTCCTTGGCCTTCGGTGTGCCTGCCGTATTAATGTTGCTCTCGGTTGTGATTTTTATAGCCGGCAAAAAGCTTTATGTAATGAAACCTCCTGCCGGTAATATGATTTTTGGTGTTTCTCAGTGTATTTCCCATGCCATTGGGGGATGGAGAAGAGAACGTAAGACAAGTCCACGTAAACATTGGTTGGATTATGCTGAACCTAAAGTGGGACAAAAAATGGTTTCCGATACTAAGACTTTATTAAAGATTTTGGTACTATTCTTGCCTTTCCCCGTATTCTGGGCTCTTTTCGATCAACAAGGTTCTCGTTGGACTTTCCAGGCAACACGTATGGATGGTGAATTATGGGGTTTCACCATTAAACCCGATCAAATGCAGGTCATTAATCCTTTATTGATTTTGGGCTTTATACCCATCTTTGATTATGTTATATATCCTCTATTGGCCATGATTGGCCATAAAAAGGCCATTACAAAAATTAACCTTGGGTGGTTTATTGGCAGCTGGCGCCTTTATACTCTCCGCCTTTGTAGAACTTAAATTAGAAGCTTTAGAACCTGTTTTACCCACGGGCATGAGCTCACAATTGAGAATTTATAATGGCATGCCTTGTCATTATAGTTTTAATACCGAACTACCTCTTGGCGATATGAAAACAGATATGCATTTACCTTCATTGGGTTTATGGCAGGAACAGCAGGTTATGGCTCCTCTGATGATGGCCTATAAGTTTGAAGCTACGGCCGTAGACTCTAATTGTCCAAGTGTTGCGGGTAATATTAATGTGGTGCCTGGAAAGGCAGTCAGTTATTTCATAGCCAACGATCGTATGCATGAATTTGAAGATAACCCGGAAAAGCCTAATTGGGAAATCCCATTGTCAGAGTTTTGCTTAATATACCCGCTAGTGAGGGTAATTTTACTTTGGAGGATTCTAGTAGTCTTAAAACTTCCCTGACTTCATATAATACTTCTCAAGCCATTACCGTTGCTAGAGGCAATGTGATTTTATCTTTAAATGGCATACCATTGACAAATGTTACAGCCAGAGCTGGAGGTGTTTATGTCTTGATGCTGAATGGAAATAATAAGGAGGGATTTGTAAGTATACAATTCAACCTAGATTCAATTAAAAGTTATTGGCTGTGGAGCAAAAATTCTTTTACAGTGAATTGATTTAGATTAGTTTTCGCAATGACTTTAAAATTTATAATTTCTTTTTCAGAACTATCAAACCCTTGTGGTAACCGAACCCAATTCCGTACATATGATGTGGCAGTTGCCTCAAATTATGTCATAACAGCAGCTGAGATTAGTTCTCCATCACCGGTCTAGAGTTCTCCTTTACACAAGCACCTCAGTCAATGAAATCGGTATTGCAAGCATGCTGGGTACTTTCAGTCGCTATAGGCAACATGTTGGTGGTGGTTATAGCCGAATTAAAATTCTTTGAATCTCAGGTTAATACTAGCAAACATTAAATTTCCCTTTCATTTTGAATATCAACTAGACTATATATATTAGTTTACTATCTGGTCTAGCCATGGTCTAAAGTCTAGTATAGTCCAAAATATAGTCTAGTTTCTAGTCAAGTTTATAATTTAGACTATAGACTAGACCTATAGACCTAGACTATAGACTAGACTATAGACTAGACCTATAATCGACTAGACTATAGGAACTAGACTATACCGGACTAGACTAGACTAAACTAGATTATAGACTAGACTATAGACTAGACTATAGGCCTAGACTATAGACTAGATCAGACTAGACTATTAGACTAGACTATAGACTAGACTATAGACTAGACTATAGACTAGACTATAGACTAGACTATAGACTAGACTATAGACTAGACTATAGACTAGACTATAGACTAGACTATAGACTAGACTAGACTATAGACTAGACTATAGACTAGACTATAGACTAGACTATAGACTAGACTAGACTAGACTATAGATAGACTAGACTAGACTAGACTAGACTATAGACTAGACTAGACTATAGACTAGACTATAGACTAGACTATAGACTAGACTATAGACTAGACTATAGACTGGACTATAGACTAGACTATAGAGTAGACTATAGACTAGACTAGACTATAGACTAGACTAGACTATAGACTAGACTATAGACTAGACTATAGACTAGACTAGACTATAGACTAGACTATAGACTAGACTATAGACTAGACTATAGACTAGACTATAGACTAGACTAGACTATAGACTAGACTATAGACTAGACTATAGACTAGACTAGACTATAGACTAGACTATAGACTAGACTATAGACTAGACTAGACTATAGACTAGACTAGACTATAGACTAGACTAGACTAGACTAGACTAGACTAGACTAGACTAGACTAGACTAGACTAGACTAGACTAGACTAGACTAGACTAGACTAGACTATAGACTAGACTAGATTAGACTAGACTATAGACTAGACTATAGACTAGACTATAGACTAGACTATA